AGCAGTGGGCCAATGGGACCCTAAGTGACTAAGCAAATTCATTTGAGTTTGTTGTAAAGCAACCTGTATGTATGTATGTATGTGTGTGTGTGTGTATATATATATATATATATATATATATATATATATATATATATAAATCTCTTGGTTGTGATATTGCATTATAGTTTTGCAAGATGTTGCCATTGGGTGAAACCTGGTAAAGGGTGCACCAGTCTTTCTATATTATTCCCTACAACCTCGTATACATCTAAAATTATCTCCATTTTTTTTTCAAAAACCAAGGCACAATTTTACAATTAAAAAATAGCTGGTATAAATTATTTTCTTGTCATCCAGTAAATTCAAGACTTAAACATCGATGTTTCATTTTCCTGCCTTTTCTCCTTTTTTGCAGGGGAGGGAGGTGGTGTTGGGGAGTAGTGCCATAATAAAACCAGCCTGCTCTCAGTTCCTCTTGGACTAGAAATAAGTTCCTGTTGCTGGCGCTTATAGAGCCCCTAAATACACTCTGACTCTGGAAACCCTGGTGATTTACCTGAAATGCTTTCTGCTTATTTTATAGTCTGTTACCAGATGACTATAAACCAGTGTTAGCTCTAACTCAGGGAAAGACAACACAAAATACCAGGTACCCAATGATTAATCCCTCAACAAGTGGGGAGGTATGGTTTTAATGATTAAAAAAACATTCATTAATTCAATAAATATTATTGAACACCTGCTGCATCCCAAAATTTTATGATCAGTACAGCTTTGGATCATCTGTTTTGTGTCCTCTTAATTTTGACCTCATTTTGAAATCCAGATCTGCAGCTTAACTAGCTGTAAGACAATGAACAAGTCCTTTAACTTCTGTGTTTACTTTCCTAACCTGTAAAATGTCAATAATAATGATTGCATCTAACAGGGTTGTTGTAAAAATAAAAATATAATTTATGCCAAATGATTAACTTATTGTCTGACACACAGTATGTGCTGATTTGATATTAGCTCTTATTGCTCTGCTCTTTTCTCCTCCTTTTCTATGTTCTATAGTTATAAAGAAATACCTTTTCAGTATTGACTACTGTAGTGCTTCACAACACCCCTCCACCCTGCAATACACATGACAGTTGACATTTATATAAGCAACACAATTGATGGTTTTTCCCAGGGTTAAATTGAATTCCCTAAACATCAGTTGTAGTGCAGAAGCTTATATCATGAAGACTACCCGGAATGTTTTGATTTAATTTTTAAAAAGCAAATAATTCATATAATTTGCTCTTACAACTATCATTAGTAGTACATCCTTTGTGACACACCTCAAAACACATTAAACAAAATGGTGTGTTAGCACATTAACTTTGAAAATCATTTGCACACAGGGATGTCCATGAATTTCTTAAACTAAAACATAGGTAACTAATAGAGGTATTCTCTGGTTTTAAGCATTTTAATGACTAATGTGTATTATTTATAATTAAGAAAGACAATTAAAAAGTAACTCCACTATAATAATGTAGGAATTTCTTGTGTTCATCATTTAAAAATTCACATTATTCTATTTTTGTACACATTTCTAACTTAAATCCAAAAGGTTTTCTCTGAAATTGTGTAGTCTTATATATTCTAAGTCAGGGATCTTTAACAGGTGTGCCACAAGAATTTATAAAACATGCAGTACCTGAAGATTTAGTCAATGGCAGTGAGCCTTTTCCCTTAGATTGCCAAATTAAAAAAAAAATGACAACAGTGTGGGAGGTTACCCCAGAGTGGGAATGGCTTGGGGGGTCAGTTAGGGAAAAAGGGAGACATATGTAAAACTTTAGACAATATTAAAGAAAAATTGGGTAATAATAATAACTACCTCATAGAATTACTGTAATGATTAAATGAGATAATATGTGTAAGGTGGCTGATATACCTTTACCAGTCATTTAAGCTTAATAAGCTCAATGTCCCTGCAAGAAAAAAAAAAAAGACAACAGCTAACAAACAATAGTTACCCAGTATGAATGCCTTGTCTTGAACCACAAATGTATACTTCATATGATAGAGTATGACCCCTGATTCTATTATATTCACCAGATTATACTGTTCCTCAGATTTTTTATTCACTTGATTTTTAGATTCAGTTGTTGATAGATATGTATTTGTTGTTCATAATTTTTATCTTTACCTTTTTCTTCTTCCTCCTATTCTTAAAGAATACCTTTCAGCATTTCATATAATACTGGTTTGGCGGTGATGAATTCCTTTAGCTTTTTCTTATCTGTGAAGCTCTTTTTCTGTCCTTCACTTCTGAATGATAGCTTTGCTGGGTAGAGTAATCTTGGTTATAGGTTCTTCCAATTCATCACTTTCAATATTTTTTGCCACTCCCATCTGGTCTACATAGTTTCTGTTAAGAAATCAGCTGACAATCTTATGGGTGCTCCCTTGTAGGTAACTGTTTTTTTATTGCTGCTTTTAATATTCTCTCTTTGTCTTTTGCTCTTGGCATTTTAATTATGATGTGTCTTGGTGTGGTCCTCTTTGGATTTTTTTTGTTTGGGGTTCTGTGTGTTTCCTGGACTTGTAAGTCTGTTTCTTTTACCAGGTGGGGAAGTTTTCTGTCATTATTTCTTCAAATAGGTTTTAAATATCTAGCTCTCTCTCTTCTTCTGGCACCCCCATAATTCTGATGTTGGTTCGCTTGAAGTTGTCCCAGAGGCTCCTTACATTATCTTCATATTTTTTTCATTCTTTTATATTTTTGTTTTTCTGGTAGGGTATTATTTGCTTCTTTGTATTTCTAATCTTTGGTTTGATTCTTGTGATCCTCTAGTCTGCTATTGGATCTCTGTATATTATTATTATTATTATTATTATTATTATTATTATTTTATTCCTTGAGGATTTTATCTATTTTTATTTTACTTTTTAAATAAATTTCTTTATTGATTAAGGTGTAACATATGCATCCTTTTCCTCCATTACCTCATCATCCCCCCCAATCATGCCCTCACCCCCCTGTTGTGTATGTCCATTGGTTAGGCCCATATGCATGCATACAAGTCCTTTGGTTAATCTCTCCCCCTTACTCTCAGCCTCCTCTACCTTCCCTCTCAGGTTTGATGGTCTGAACAATGTTTCTCTGTCTCTGGAACTGTTTTTGTTCATCAGTTTATGTTGTTCATTATATTCCACAAATGAGTGAGATCATGTGATACTTATGTTTATCTTTCTCTGCCTGGCTTATTTCACTTAGCATAATGCTCTCCAGTTCCATCCATGCTGTTACAAATGGAAGGAATTCCTTCTTTTTTAGTGCAGCATAGTATTCCATTGTGTAAATGTACCATCTGCTGATGGGTACTTAGGCTGTTTCCAAATCATAGCTATGGTAAATTGTGCTGGGTACTCATCTGCTGATGGGTACTTAGGCTGTTTTCAAATCATAGCTATGGTAAATTGTGCTGCTATGAACATAGGGGTGCATATATCCTTTCTGATTGATGTTTCTAGCTTCTTGGGATATATTCCTAGGAATGGTATTACTGGGACAAATGGGAGTTCCATTTTTAGTTTTTTGAGGAAACTCCATACTGTCCTCCACAGTGGCTGCACCAGTCTTCATTCCCACCAGCTATGCTCCAGGGTTACTTTTTCTCCGCATCCTCACCAACATTTGTCATTTATTGATTTGTTGATGATAGCAATTCTGACAGGTGTGAGATGGTCCTGCATTGTCATTTTGATTTGCATCTCTAGGATAATTAGTGACTTTGAGCGTATTTTCATATGCCTTAAGGCCTTCCTTCTGTCTTCTTTCAAAAGATTCTATTTAGGTCTGTTGCCCATTTCTTAATTGGATTGGCCTATAATTCCCTATTATTGTGTTATCTTTATCTGGTTTTGGTATTATGATGATGGCGGCTTCATAGAATGAGTTTGGAAGTGTTCTTTCCTCTTGAATTTTTTTATGTAGTCTGAGAAGGCTAGGTTTTAGTTCTTACTTGAAAGTTTGGTATAACTCTCATGTGAAGCCGTTTGGGCCTGGGCTTTTGTTTGCTGGAAGCTTTTTGATGACTGCTTTAATTTCTTCCATTGTTATTGGCCTATTGAGATTTTTAGAATCTTCCTGATTGAGTTTTGGGAGGTTGTATTTTTCTAGGAATATGTACATTTTCTCCAGGTTGTCTAGTTTGTTGGAATAGAGTTGTTCATAGTATTTTTAAACAATCTTTGTATTTTTGTGGGGTCTGTTGTTATTTCACCTCTATCATTTCTGATTTTGTTTATTTGAGTCCTCTCTTTTTGCTGAGGTAGAGGCAGTTAGAGGCCAAGAGGGGAGGGCAGTTGTGGGGGGCCAGTTGGGGTGATCAGGGCAGCAGGGGGAGGAGAAGTTTGAAGTGAGCAGGCCAGCAGGGGGGTCAGTTGGGGGCAAGCACACTGGCATGGGGGAAAGTTAGGGGTGATCAGGCTGGGGGGGTGTGCATTTGGGGGCAAGAAGACCAGCGATGGGGGGCAGTTGGGGGCGAGCAAGCCAGCAGTCAAAGTGGTTAAGGGTAATCAGGCAGGCAGGCAGGTGAGCGATTAGGAGCCAGCAGTCCTGGATTGTTAGAGGGATGTCTGACTGCCAGTTTAGGCCTGATTCCTATAAATCGGCAATAGTATATCCTTCGAGGGGTCCCAGATTGGAGAAGGTGCAGGCCAGGCTGAGGGACATTCCCCCCCCCTCCGTGCACGAATTTTGTGCACCAGCCACTATTTTAGTATATTAAATGAGATAATAACAATTTTCAAACTATAGGCCTCTGGATTCCTCTGAAAAACTTTTTAAAGATGTTAAAATTTATCTTAGGCACTTATCTCTGATCTTGTTGCAGTTACTCTTGGCTGCCCATAACACCCTACCTATTCCTAACTATCACCTAAATGATTCTTCCTTTTTTTCTCTCCTTTGGAGGACTATCCCCTCATTGAATGTACTCACCATTTTTGGACCAGATACCATCTTGGTATTTTTCTAATTTTATTTTATTTTTTAGAATTAAAAAAATATTTATTGATAATGTCTCTTTTAAAAATGTTTGGTAACCCCAACTAATCATTCAAAATGCAAACTGTAAACACAACAACAGCAAAAGAGTAACAACTGAGTATGAGTAAGCAGACTATGAACAGGTGACAGATGGGGCAAAAATGCAAGAGGGAGTAACAAAGGACAACAGGTGCACAAGTGTGCTACAGACAGTGTCAATTTGAGTGAATAGGTAATCACATTTGGACCACAGTAATTTCAATGCGACCATTTAGGAAACCACTGGGCCAAATATTTAACAGGGGGCAGAATGGAGGAGCCTTCTTTGTGAGCATGCTCAGAATGTTGGCATGGGAACAAGGAAGCACAGAAGCTGTGTAGTCATCTCACAATGGATGGCTACCATTTATAGGATGCAAAGAAATTTTCTTTCTGGTCTCTGGATACAACATATATTGTTTTTCTCTATGCTTTCCTTGACCCTGGAGGACTGTAGTTGCTGTTCCAAAATCACCAAATAAACCCCTTAATAAAATAAAGAAACAGTAGTAAGCAGTAACACTGGGTTTGCCCTTCCCCCTACCTTGCCTATGATTTTCTTCTGGTCCAACAGGAATGGCTAAGTTTTATCAATCCACTTGATAAAGCCAGCACAATCTTCAGTCTCCTGTCACAGAGCTAGAGTGGATGGGTATGTATATGTATGTGTGGCTCTGGGAATCTGAAAGCTGCCTCACGTAGTAACCCTTGTCCAGAACACTGGGTCACTTTCACTGGAGACTCCGCGATAACTCTAGAAGTGTCATTAAATATTCAGTTTGTCATGGCTGCCACCTCCACTGTCATAGGATGATGCAGCATCTGCAGAAGCGCTGTCTGCTGCCCCCCACTGACCGGGGTGGAATGACAGGTGCAAAGTAAGGATGGACTTTAATATTGGGTAAATGGGTCCTGAGTCTCTTGATTCCAGCCCGTGAGATTTGCTGGCAGTCATAGAGTTCTATCCGCTCAAGGCTGTGACAGCTCTTCAAGTGCTCCAGGGATGCGTCTGTGATTAGTGGGCAGTTGTCCAGTTCAATCACCTCCAGCTGGTCATGAGAACAGGCCCCATTCCCCAGATGATGAATTCCATCATCTGTGATCAGCTCACAGTGAGACAGACTCAAAACTTGAAGTTGAGGACAGTGTATAGAAAGTTGGATTAAGGTGCTATCTGTTTTTTTAACACACTCTTCCAGGTCCATCTTTTACAAGCTCAATGCAATTCTTGGCCAGAGTGGTAAAGCCTACATCTGTTAATTGAGAACACCTTGCCACTTCTAATATTCTAAGTAGTGGGAAGTTCTGACCCAGAGCATTCAGGATGGCTTCCGTGATGCTGGAGCAGCCAGAGGCACAGACAGACTGTAACATATTGCACCCTCTGCATATAGTAATGAGATCATCTATGATTTGCAAGCAAGCTCAAAGTCACCAGTTCAGGACAGTGTGAAACTATGTACTTGAGAGTTTCATCTTCTAGCTGTGTGCAGCCTTTTAAGAATAAGGCTTTGAGACCCCCACAGCCTCTCACTAGTGCTTGGATGCCACCCTTGGTTACTTGGTCACACCAGGAAATGTTCAATTGCTCAAACAGTGGATATCCTTCACTCAGAGCTTTTAGTGACATGTTTGTTATTGATGTGCAGGAAGCCAAGTCAAGGTGCCTGAGTTTGGAACAGAACTTGCTAAGGCTAGTACATGTACTGTCTGTAGTCTTTGTACACCCATTTAAATTTAGTACTTCAATGTTCCTACAGTTTTGTGCAAAGGTCCTTAATGTATTGTCTCCTACTCCAAGACACCCATGAAGACTTAACTTCCTTAAAAAGCCCCCACATCTTTTTGAAATATTCTCCACTGCCTGGCCCTCAATATCCCTCTGGAAATTGAACAGGTCAATTCGCTGCCAGTTGCTGCCATCTAGAGCCAGAACATTCCAGGCCCTGGAGACCTGAGCACAGCCACATAAGGTAACAACATAAAGAAAAGAAAATATCTGTAATAGGAGTTCTTTGGGAAGCTTTTTATTGATCACATCACTATTTGAGAACATCTCAAACCTGCTCTTGGTGATTCCGTTCATGTCCCACCTCATGAGGCCTGTGGGTGCGACTGGCCCGCCCTGAGCAGGCTCTGGAGTTCCGGGATTGGGAGGAGGCAGAGGAGCAGCGGTCAGGGGCCGCAGGCCTGGAGAAAAAACATCTGGACTCTGGCTGGGCCTCCTCCACCTCCAGCAGCGGCGGCAGTGACTTATGGTCACTAGCTTTTCTCTCTTATTTTTCTAATTTTAAAAGAAGATTCCCTGTATCTGTCTTTCCTTGCTCCAGAAGCCTGCCATTTCTTTAATTGAGAATAGTCATAGAAAATATTATTATTAATATAAGGTGTTTACAAAGGTATGTGGCTTTATATAAGCAACAATGACAGCTACTGTTTGTGTAGCACTTATGCATCATTATTCTAAGTACTATAAATACATTAAGTCATCTTTTTCTCACAGTCATCTTAAAATGCAGGCATTATTATTTTCATCCTCATTTTACAGTGAGGAAACAGGACAGATAAATTGTGGAAATTGCCTAAGGACATATAGCTATTAAGTGTTAGTGAGCTTCAAACTTGGACATCTGGCTCTAGAATCTGTGCTCTTAAGTACAGTATTTTACTGCCTCCCCACTGTAAGTGTATCCAACACAATTTAATTTGGGTTCTCAACTGTACATGATGATATTTTTTCTTTGAATAGTGGTGTTTTTCTCGTATATGTATATTGTATACATGTGTGTGTTTCCCATAATAATGTTTTATGGGAACATTTGTTTGTTTCCAGGACTGAGAAATGAGGTAACAAATTAAAAATTAGAAAGTTTTAGTTCCTGAGACTCATAATGATAGTAAAAGCCTATAAGTTGAGAGTTTACCAAAGCCTATTTGAGTTATATATTTAATGTAACAAATTTAAAGCTTCCATTCTTAATTTCTTAATTTTGAAACTAAAATATTGTATTTAAATAATTCACTTTTGATCTCTATACTAATGATTAAGTAAATATAACCTAATTTTAATTTGTTATACATTTATTTTTATTTTATGATCAGATTCATAGTTTCAGTTATCTTAGATTAAATAGTCATTATCTGATCCTGTAGTCAGGGACTATACCTTATTTCCTCAAAACCTAGAGACAAGGCTGAGTCATCCTATATAATAAAAAGGTAATATATAACTGGTTGTTACACCACATAACGACCGATCACCAGGAGGGCAGGGCAGCCAGCTATGTGCAGCTGAGATGGGCAGCAGTGGTGGGCAGGGTGGCCAGCTGAGGCAAGCGGCAGAGAGCTACTTGTGCACAGATTTGTGCACAGGGCCACCAGTAATATAAAATGGATATTTAATAAGTACACTGACTAAGTGAATTAGAGTTACTAGTAATGATTACCTACCAAGTAGAAGGCACTGTGCATCATGATTTAACTATATTATGTTGAATACTTTAACAACCTAAATATAAGATAGTTATTATCCTAATTTTACAAATTAGAAATTGAGGTTCAGATAGTTTAATTCATTTGTACAAATTATTAATCGACAGAAGCATCATTCAAACTTATGTTATGTTCCAAAGACCATGGGCTTCTCATGACATCATTTTGCAAGGATGAGTGAATGAGTAGATGGTTAATTTTCTTCCATTCTGGATAAACAATAATTTTAATCCAGCTTCTTATCTCATTTCTGAGTTAAAATAGTTCTTAGTGCCAGAAAAAAAGGATAGATTAAAAGATAATAAAAAGAGATCATTAAAATGGAAAATAAAACAGATGAAAGGAATGAGTGGCTATGTGTTCTTACAACATGGTATCTATAATTATTTATATGTCCATCTCTCCAACTGTATTGTGAGCTACCCTGGGACAGGGAAAGTGTCTTTTATTATACAATTGCCTATTATAGGATCTGGTACATAATAAATGATTCAAAATGTTTGTGGAATAAAATAGAAGAAAAATTTGGAAGAAAAAAAGGTGAGAAAGCAACACACACATATTCTGGAGCAAAGAGCTAAAGTGGGGACAAACATACAATAGTACCTGATTTTAAGGAGTAGTGATAACTGTAGAATGAATGCCACTTTTGAAGCATTATGTAAAAAAGAAAATTAAAATTAGATATTAGCTAAACAAATTTTGTTTATAAGTTGGATTTGCTTATGGGGGAAAAAATAAGATGGGTTTCCAAATAATTAAATATAAATGGATAGGAAAATAGTTATCCATCATTTTAGCAGATATCTGAAATATTTTCCATTCAACAAATGTTTTTTAAGTGACTGCTATGTGTAAATATTGGGCTAGGTCCTAGAGATAAAATTATAATCTTCTCTCACAATCTATTCAAGAAGATAAACAAACAAGGCTAACAGATTTATCCTCACTCAGTTTATAGTCTAGGAGACAAAGAAGCCCGCTAAAGTAGTATTCTAAAGTTTCTCTTTAGCATCTTCCTTTCTCTTTCTCAAACTCCTCCACTGTAGACCATCATTCTCCATATGATCTACCAATATCATACTCACCTCTAGCTATCCCAGATCACATTTCAGTTCTTTCTTCTTCAAAAGGGCTTCAATTTATTTTTCATTTTATTTAGGTTAACTCTCCATGAATATGAATTGTGTATTAACATTAAACTAATAATGGACATTGGAAGCTGCTGATTTAGGACACTGCAGTTTATTTTATCTCATTTTAAACATATTTTGTAAAAAGACAACCTCTGATGTACTGTCTTTACTTATTGGCTTTGTTTCCTACATATGCCATATCTCAGCAAAACTCTATGTTTCTTTTTTGCTTTTGCTTTATTTCTTGAAAGCAGAAACAGATTATTTTTCATCTCGGTATCTTCCATAGCACATCAAACAATTATTAATCCAAAAAAGTATTAAATAGATACCTGAATACATAAATAAATATTTTATATCTGTTCATGATAAACACACAGTATATATAAGCCACCCTAAGATTCAATGTACTAAAGATTTCTTTCAATTTTGGGGTCTGTACTTTCATTTCTACAATTGGCTCCTTGTGTGCACAATTAGCCACTTGCTAACATAATTGGCCACTACCCCTTCCCCCTTTATAGGATATTCAGTGACAAAGTATGGGTGCACTTTTGGGACCTATAACTAGTTGCACCTGAGATAGAAATGCAAACAAATTTAGAAACCTACTTGTGATCCCTTGATAATTTGTCTCTTGGTTATCTAACTCTTGCAACCATCAAATTTTAATATTTTTTCTCAGCTCCATTGTTATGGATTTTATGGAAATTTGAAAAAAAAAGAATTTGTTCTATAATAAAATTGGAGCATGTAAGTGAAAAATAAAACAATGGAAAATGTATTTAGAAACGAGTTTCTGCAGAAACTCTATCAAGGGGCATTGAAAGATTGAAAGTAGACTTGAGCAACATCTCATTTTATAAACCACTTTTCTTCCTAAGAAAATTCCTATTCGAATGAATTCACTTTTTGTACAGTGTTAGGTCATGTTATGCAAAATGAATTTAAGAGCCCACTAGTGGGTCTTTTCAGCCCACCTAAAGTTTCACATGATGAGGCTTAACAAAAGGAAAAGTATAATTTGCATATCATATGGTTTGTACATATTTTTTTCTATTCTGTAGGTTACCCTTTTACTTTAGTTTTGATTTATTTGCTGGTGTTGATCTCTTTGCTGTAGAGAGTTTTTATTTTTAATTTTTTTTATGTTTTAATCCTCACCTGATAATATTTTTCCATTGATTTTCAGAGAGAGTGGAAGAGAGAGGGAAAGACATAGAGGAATATCAATGTGAGAGAAACACATCAATTGTTTGCCTCCTGCATGTGCCCTGACCTGGACCCAGCAAAGGAGAGCCTACAAACAAGGCACATGCCCTTGACCAGAATCAAACCTGGTCTGCAGGTCAATACTCTATCCACTGAGCCAAAGTGGTTAGGTTAGAGCTTTTTAGTATGTGTAGTTCCACTAATCTATTTTTGCTTTTGTTGCTTATGTTTTTTGGACCATCTTTAACAAACCCAAAACATTGTCAAGGTCAATATTAAAAACCTTTATCCCTCTTTTCTTCTAAAATTTTTAGTTTCAGGTCTTATGTTTAAGTTTTTAATCCATTTTGAGTTAATTTTGGTGTACACTATAAGATAAAGGCTCAGTTTCATTCTTCTGGATGTGTACATACAGTTTTCCCAATACAATTTGTTGAAGACACTATCCCTTCCCTTTTGTGTATCACTTCCTACCATGTCAAAGATAAGTTTGCCATAAATGTATAGATTTATTTCTGATCTCTCTGTTTTGTCCCATGGGTCAATATATATATTTTATGACAATATCATACTGTTTTGATTATTATAACTTTATAATATATTTTGAAATCAAGAAGTGTGATGCCATCTACTTTGTTTAAGATTGCTTTGGCTAGTTGGGGTCTCTTGTGGTTCCCTATGAATTTTAGTATAATATTTTTATATTTCTGTAAAAAATGCCATTGGTATTTTGAAAGTAATTGCCTTCAATCTCTAGATTACTTTGGATAATATTTATATTTTGACAATACTATTTATTCTAACCCATGAAGACAGTATGTCTTTTCATTTAGCCATTTTTTTCAATTTTGCTCACCAACTTTTATATTTTTTTAGTGTACAAGTTTTTTTATTTCCTTGGTTAAACTATTTTTTTTCCTTTTAGAATAAACACTTTTATTACATGAACTAAGATTGAAGGAAAGAGAATTTATTTGCCTTCTGGGCCTTGATTTTCCTCAAATAGAACTCCGCTCCTTTCCCTCGAGCATATAGCCATCTGCTTAGCCACATTGGCCTGGTATTGAAGCATGCATGCAAGAAGCTCACCCTGCTGGAAATTCTCTTCGAGAAGACTGCTGATTTTGGCATTCTTTTTTCCTTTCATCATATTTTTCTGAAATTTCTTTGATTGTTTTTGGTTCAAATTTTCTTTCGCTTCAGGAGTCATCTTAGCCCCCTTTTTTCAGCCCAGGAGCAGCACTTAGTGGGACTCCTA